GTAAAAATAAAAAACATTAAAAAGTAATAAATAGAAACAAATTGAAAAAATACAGAAAAAATAAATAACATTAAAAATAATACATAGAAAAAAATAGAAAAAATGCAGTAAAAAATAAAAAACATTAAAAATAATAATAAATAGAAACAAATTGAAAAAATACAGAAAAAATAAAAAACATTGCAAAAATAGAATAGAAAATAAAAAAAATAAATAATAAAAAGAATTAATTAAATATAAAACTTCCATTAAATAATTAGTATATAAATTAAAAATTATGCTTTTTTTCTTTTGATTCTTCTGTTTTAGGGCAGAAATAATAAATAATAAAAAAATCATTAAAATCTTCAAAAAATGAAAACAGTGTGAAAAAATTGATGACAAAAAAAATATTTAGTTCCCCCCCTCCCCCATTTTCCTAATGGCTCAGTAATATAATGCCTCAAGTTTCGCGCGTGAAACAATAAACAGAAAAACACACTTTGTTTTTTTCAGAGAATTGTTAGTATAGGCTATTTTCAAGTGGGCATCATTTCCATCGGCGGTTTTTCATAAACGTTTTCTTATTTATTTGCGCCAAGTTTCCGTGTGCGCGCCCTTAAGCTTGTAGGCAAATATTTCTATTTCTTCATCACTTTTTTTAAGTTGAGGGTGTTTTCTGTATATGAGCGGCATCTCTTTCAAAAAAAAAACCCCAACAAAGTTATATTCTCTGTTTTAACTTTTAAAGAAATACAAATTTCTTTCCGAAAACCATTTTCTCACTTTTTCTTTTTTTTATTTCTTTTATAATTATTTTTTTTATTATAAATATATGTTTTACTCCCTAAATTTGAATTAGTCAAAATTTTTAGTAACTTGAATTTAATGACTGAATTTTTGTTTTTGAATTAGAAAATTTTTGCTAATAAATAGTAATTTCCACTAATATTTGTTTTTTACTATTTTTTGTTTTTGAAATAGGAAATTTCTAAAATATTATTATTATTATTAATATTTCTAAATAGGAAATTTTTACTAATAAATAGTAATTTCTACTATTTATTATTAGTAAAATTTACTAACTCAAAAGCAAAAAGTAGTAAAAAAATGTAGTAGAAATTACTATTTATTAGTAAATTTTACTAATTTAAAAGCAAAAGTTCAGTCACTAATTCAAATTAGTAAAAATTTGACTTAATTTAATTTACTTAAACAAAAATATCTATATTTCAATGAATGAAAAATATCTCTCGTTGATTAATATATATCGTTGTATAATAAACACCGCAGATATATATTAGTTAATGAAAAATAATCAGAGTAATAATTCTAAATATATTACAGAAAAAAATATATATAAAATATGTTGTACAAATATAAGATTACAACAATATATATTATATGTATGTGCAAGATAAGTTGTACGATTTTGTCTACTTTCCATAATCGAAAATTAAACTACTTAACAATTAAAATTTCGATTATACAAATCGACTTACACGACTGATATATTGGCATTTATTTACACATTTTATCATTGCAAATTATGATAAAAAGACAGTCACCTGCTGGATATTACATTGTGAATATTATATTTGTACTTTCAAATTTTATATATATTATTTTTAACTATAGTATTAGAAAGTTTCCGAAAAAATTTAATTTGCTTTTTTCAATTTTTCTCATGAAGAAGAGAATATATTTTCAATTCAATTTAAAAGAACTTAAAACCAAAAATATATTTTTTTAAATTATATTAATATATATTAATTAATTTGTTAATATATCTTAATGTATTATTAATAATATTTAAGCTAAAAAAGTAAAAAAAAATTTTACAGGAAATTCTGTTTGTATTAACAAATGAAAATAAATTATTTTAAACAACCTTGAAGTTATAAACGTAAAAACAATTTTTAAATGTAATATTAATTAACTGTAGAAAATCAATTATATTTTTATAGAAGATCATTACTAAACACAAGACTAGAGTCATCAGTGTATAATTGTTTTACTACGACAGGCCACTTGTGGGCATTTTTTAAAAAATTTATTATTATTATTTTTCTCCTAAAGTTAATTATTTTTTAAAACCAAAAATTTTTATTTCTCTATAAATTCAACGATTTGATAATAATATATTTCTTATTATTCCTACATTGAAAAAAAATTAATTGATTCAAATATTCCTATTATATCAAATTTAAATGGCATGCTCAAATGAATATTTATACTTGAATCAAGTAAATTTTCATTTAAATAGAATAAAAATTATATTTGAGCCAATAATTGCGATAAATAATAAAAAAATACCATTTAATTAACTTAAATAAAAATTATTTGATAGAAATAAATTTTTTTTCAGTGCAATTTGTTAAAATTATTTTAATATTGTAGAATTTTTTTTAAAATTATCAACGAAAATATAAGTATAATAATGAAAATAATAAATGAGTAACAACAATTGCTGAAGATAAACAACAATTGTTAGTAACATTAAAATTGCCAAGAATAGTAATAATAATAATAATAATAATAATAATTCCCACGAATAATAAAAATAATAATAATAATAATAATTACGATAAAGAATAGTAATAATAATAATAATAATAATAATAATAATAATAATAATAATAATAATAATAATAAAAATAATAATTACGATAATTTTATATTTTAATAATTTTACTTAAAGAAAACCAAATAGTAATTAACGTGAATAGTAATAATAGTAATAGGAGTAATAATATAAATATCAACAATAATAATAATTTAATAAATAATAATAAAAACTAATAATAATCGCCATAATTATTATTTTTAACTGCAATAGTTAATAAATATAAATCATTATTATCTAATTAATAAATACTACAATTATTATTATTATTAACCAATTATTGCCAAAAGTATCAACTCTATTCTAAGCATTCACAATAAATTGACGTTTACTTTACTAAACAAAAAAAAAAATAAGTAAATTTTACTAAAAAAAAAGGTTTAAATTTTAATAAAAAAAGTAAGTAAAAACCTATTTTTTCATAATTTTGAATCTTAACGAAATTTAATTAAGAAATCAGTATAAAAATTTAATGAATTAAATGAAATTTTAAAGAAAAAAATTGTGCTAATATATAAAAAAAAATCTCACAGAATTATAGAATATTATAATATATTCCACGTAAATTTTTTTTTCTCTTCTCCATTAGATTACCAATGAAAATTTTCTCCATTCAAAAAAGATTAAACATCAATATAGAAATTAGAGTACAGATCATTAGAGAGTCATTAGAAGGAAAAATTTCTCAAATATTTCTCGAAGCAACCAATTTAAAAGTATATATATATAATAAAACAATTTTTATTTTGCGGAGACAAAAATGAAAGTTTTTCAACGCGCATTTAATGAAATTTAAAAATTCCAGTCATTTTAAAATTGCATTAAAATAAAAAATTTATTAAATAGTTTTTTATTTTTTTAATTTATATTTATTTTACTCAATTACGAAAAATTACCAAAATTAATTAATTAAAATTACCTACAAACAAATTATACTTTTTAGCCCATATTTACTTAATTCTTTCAATAAATTTTTATTTATTTAATAATTTACCATTTATTTAATAATTCAAATTAGAAAAATTCATTCAATCGATTCAATTGACATTTTAACAATTAATTAATTTCACAAATAATACAATAATAAAAAAATTCGCTATCAATTTTTATCGCAATAAATTAGTCCCTTGTAAATAAATAAATGCTGAAAAAAATAATTTTCCACTCTTCACTATAATAAACTTTGATAATTATTCTCTACTAGAATTGAATTAATTTATCTAATTAATTATCATCTCAAAAAAAATTTAAGATAACGATAAAAATCCAGTAAGAATTAACTTTAAAAAATCATTTTTGTTTAAAAAAGCGAACAATTGGTGAAATTTTACTTAAAAATCAATCAAATTTAGGCTCCTTATTAGAAATTTTGAAAACTTTTAGAAAACAGAAATTTTCACAAGAAAACATACGAAATAAGTATAGAATAATCGAGAAAAATTTTTTCCATGTGCGGTTTATCTAAATTATAGTAAAATTTTTGAGTTAAAAATTACTCCAAGAGAAGTCACCAACGAAAAAGTTTCAAAGAACAATTTCTTTTACTTTACAGATTATACTGTCACAAAATATTGGTGATGGTTTCAAATTTTAACTCCAAAATATGTATTAGCGAAAGAAAATTTACTATAAGAGTAAATTTAACTCCAGAATGTAGTCAAAGAAAATTTACTAAAAGAGTAAATTCAACTCCAAAATGTAGCGAAAGAAAATTTACCGAAAGAGTAAATTTACCTCCAAAATTCAGCAAAAGAAAATTTACCGAAAGAGTAAATTTAACTCGAAAATGTAGCGAAATAATTCTCACTGAAAGATTAAATTTATCTCCAAAATGTATAGTCAAAGAAAATTTACTGAAAGAGTAAATTTAACTCCAAAATATGTAGCGAAAGAAAATTTACTGAAAGAGTAAATTTAACTCCAAAATGTAGCGAAATAAAATTTACCGAAAGATTAAATTTGATTCCAAAATGTAGCGAAAGAAAAAATTCCGATGGAATTAAACGTTTATTGACACGGTAAAAAATTTGGAGTAAATGGCATCGAGAGTAAAACATTTCGAGTTAAAAATAATCAAGTTTAATTTACCTATACTAATCTACTCGAAACAGGAGTGAAACAGAAAGAATTAATCATTAACACCCTATTGATAAGTCATTTGTAGTTACATTTGGTGAGTTTCAAAAAAGGAGTAAAATTTTAACTTTTTTCCGTCACAAGACCACAATCCTTAAATCAAAAATTCAAAATTTAGCTGCAATTCCCATTTGGGCACAATTACAAAAAATAAACCACCAAATTGTCAACAAAATAACGTTCAGTCAAAATTTATCTGCAATTCCCATTTGATCACAATTCCAAAAACAAAAACAAAAAAAAAATTAAGCGAACTAACCTTGCGAGTCCCGGCGAATGCGGCGTGGACGGTCCTTGATCATGCTCCTGATGATGATGATGTGATGCTCCCGTCGGATGTGCTCCATACAAAGAATCAATATAAATATGCTCGGTAGTCACTCGTCCCGAATCTTGAAGACCTTGACTGGTTTGCACTGAAGAAAGTGGTGGTTGCATTGTCGTCAAATGCGTGAGTGATTGAATACGACCTTGATCATTGGGACTGTATCCGTCATCCTGCACGTGACGATGTGGCGACAATCCCTGATCGTCATGTGGACTTCGACTCGAACCTGGTGAACTGCCAGCGCGAACAACTTGTGGCGAAACACCGCCACTATTCCCAGTGACATTTGCACCACGAATTTGATGTTGCAAATAGGGATCATCGTGAAGAACGTCCTCAAGATGTTGCGAATGATGATGATGATGATGCTCGTCAGCTCCATTACTTCCACTACCAGCACTCGCTCCAGTTGATGTTAAATTTGGAAAAAGATTTCCAAGGGAATATTCCCCTCTGATTGGTGCACGCATTGCAGCAACAATATTCACTCTCTCGTCATCATCATCTTGATTATGATGATCGTCAATTTGTCGTGAATGATTATTAAGATCGTGATTATTTTCATTGAGATGATGATGTTGATGTTGTTGTTGTTGATGATGATGATGATGATGCTCGGTTGCCGGTGAGAGCGTCTCAATCCCGTATCGATGCATCGTTGAATGTGGCATGTGACTGGCAAGGCGATTCCCTTCCGACGGGACGGAGACCTCCGTCGGGTGCCGGCTATCCCCTCCCGCAGGAACCGGAATTTCTCCCGCCCCAAGTTGCACGTACTGCTGTCCGATGTGCTCTTCGTGTTGATGCGAGGATTGTTGTTGGTGGGGGGGATGATTGTGTTGAGAGACCTGTTGCTGCTGCTGTTGCTGCTCCTCCTCCCTTAAATTATCCCCTTGATATGAACTCTCACTTTGTGTTAAGAACGTCCTATAATTAAGACAGAAAAAAAATTATCTCATCTATTATCGCCTGTTATGTATATCACCTAAGATCAGATTATTACTTATCGCAGGTGTTAATCCCTGCCATAAGTTATGATTTAACTATACAACTACTACTGCAATTATGGTGAATATGTCAACTTCCGAGTTTATAACTAAAGTTATTAAACTAAAGTTTGTTACTCAATTTGTTACTAACAATGATGGGGCAAAAATATTTTTATGCTACAAATGCTACTCGAACATATGTTTTATTTGTGAAATGGGTTGAAAATCTAAGTTAGAAGCGTAGGTCAGGAAAAAAAAGTTGTAGACAGGGGAAAAAAGACTCTCGCAACCGCTTACGCGCCTGCGCGAGACTTTTTTCCCCTGTCTACAGCTTTTTTTCCCTGACGTCACTTAACCTATTATGCACATTTCGTGTTCTACTTCATCCACAATAAACGAGCTTTTCGAGCATTTTGGGTAAAGCTAGCAGCTACTTTTAATCTTTGTATTGTTAACAAGCTGTACTTCCTAACAACATATAAGTAATATTATAGCAGTTACTTTTAATCCTCAAGTATAACATTAGGAGATTGCTCCCTAACAACAAAGTAACATTAGCAGTTACTTTTAATCAACAAGTAACATTAGGAGATTGCATCTTAACAAGTAACATTAGGAGTTACTTCCTAACAACAAGTAACATTAGATAATAATTGTTAACGTTGCTTGTTGATAAACATTATTTTTAAAAGTTACTTTTAATCAACAAGTAAAGTTATAGGAATTATGATTTTAATCAATAAAATTAACAAAAATTGTTAACGTTGCTTCTTGATAAGAAGTATATTTTTAAAAAGTTACTTTTTATCAACAAGTAAAGTTTCAGCAATTAATGCTTTTAATCAAATTATACCGTATAATTAATGAGCAAGATTATCAGTTATACTTTCAAATTTTTAATTATAATTTTCACCTTTACTTTGCAACAATAAATAAGAATATTGTTAACGGATACTTCCTGTGGCAAAAAGTAACTTTATCAACCAGTAAAGTTAACAGAAGTTTTTAATTAATAATAAGTAATGTGATTAGCAGTACTTAAGTAAAATTTACGAATTTAATAGTTTTTGCTTTTGAATTTGTAAATTTTACTAATAAATAGTCATTTCTATTAATTTTGTTTTTTTTACTACTTTTTGCTTTTGAATTAGTAAATTTTACTAATTTTTGTTTTTTTATAATAATTAATTAATAGAAATTACTATTATTTATTATTAAAATTTACTAATTCAAAAGCAAAGTGTAGTAGAAAAAAATTAGTAGAAATTACTATTTACTAGTAACATTTACTAATTCAAGAGCAAAAAAATTAGTAGACATTACTATTTATTAATAAAATGTATTAATTCTAAAGAAAAAGTAGTAAAAAAACAAAAATTAGTAAAAATTACTATATATTTATTAGTAAAATTTACTAATTCAAAAGCAAAAAGTATTTAAAAAACAAAAATTTATAAAAATTACTATATTTATTAGTAAAATTTACTAATTTAAAAGCCAAAAATGGTAAAAAAACAAAAAATTAGTAGAAGTTATACTATTTATTAGTAAAATTTACTAACTCAAAAGCAAAAAGTAGTAAAAAAATGTAGTAGAAATTACTATTTATTAGTAAAATTTATTAATTCTGAAGTAAAAAGTCAATCATTAATTCAAATTACTAAATATTTTTACTAATTGAAATTTAGGGAGTAACTATGAACGTTACTTGTTGATTGAAAGTAACTTTTACTGATACTGTTATAAAGTTGCTTTGTTTTGATAAGAATTCGTTTCAACAGCATTAACACGTGACTTTATTGTTGATAATAGTAACCTTAAGGATAAAGCACCTTAAATTTTTAGTTGAAATAAAAAAAATTATGCTAATTATTATACTAAAAGTGGTACAATAATTAATTTACTATGCTGCAATCCGTAACTAATTTTATTATCAAAGGGAATAATCATACTTTTCTTTTCGAAAAATAACATTGAACGTAAAATTACCACTGCAATATTATTTGTGTCAATCATTAAAATTATGCAGGTCAGTGTATAGAATATGTTTTGAACTGAACAAAATAAATTGATGTGTTTAGTACTTTACGTTACTAGAACCAAAACATCAACAAAAACAACAACCAACGTTACAATACTACTTCATTAATTTTTTTAAATACTACAAAATAAACAAACAACCATTAATATATATATAATATATTATGTAAAGTAAAAACCCATCACAGAAAAAAATATTTCACCCTGGAACAATTAAAATAGTTTCGCAGCAAATTAGCTTTTAATTCTTACTTTTAATTCTTAAAATGAATACCTTATTCTTTATTCTAGAAAAACTTTATCGTTATTGTTTCAGAGGAAGATTATCTTATCCCTGCATAATATTAAAAAATTCAGGAAGTAATTAGCATCGAGAGTAACATTTTCGAGTTAGAAATCTACTCCAAAAGTGATGATGAGTTAACAAAGATGTGAAACAATAGTTTCACAAACAGTATAAATATAAACAAATAAAAAACTACAATAAATACATACAACAAATAAAAAATAAAAAATGTTTTATAAACAAAAAAATAATTTTATAAATAAAAAAAATAACAAATAAATAAATACAATTAAAAGTATAATAAAGTATACATAAAAAACAAACAAAAAACTATAATAAATGACAAAGCTCAAGATCAACAAGTGCAACAAAAATCCATAAATAATTCCTCCCAATTACATATCAAGATCCAGTAGTATATTATATAAATAAATAAAAATGATAAGAACTGCTGATAAATTCGAGTATGAAAATAAATTGAGATGTATTAGTGATAGGCGCGATATGCAAAAATTTCTTTAAAGAGACTCACCGCTCATGAATGATTTGTTGAGTTGAATGATAGCCGAGTTGTCTAATGAGAGTATACGACGTGAGATTTGTGTTGTCGTCGAGATCGGTAACTGATGCCACAACTGGTGCTGCCCCCGATTCAACAACAGTTCCCTCAACTAAACCGCCATTTTCTATTTCCGGTTGACCCGCCTCCAACACGCCCACGCCGTCTCCACCTTCTTCTGCACTTGAATAGCCAATTTGCTGCTGCTGTTGTTGCTGCTGATGTCGATCAAGTTCTCCAAGTACATTGTATTGTACATTACTCTCACTTTTTATGACCTCGACATTCTCGTCAGCCAAACTTGTCCCTCTTCCAGTTTCCGACGTTTGTTCCTCCGTACGCTCCGCATATTCCTCCAAAGCTGCAAAGAAAATAGAAAAAAATACTCACAAATTGTATTTCACTAATTTTTAGTAATTTTCGATAGACAACTTTTCCCCTTTTTGACAAGTGAACGAAATATGACTAACTATTAGTAAGATTTGACGAAATAAATTTTAATTTTTTGGTACAATTTCACTAATTGTTAGTCGCATTTGATTCAGTAAACAAATTACACTGTTAAAAATTTAGGAATTTGACATTCAGCCGAATAAACAACAAACATTTTTTGAATAAAAATTTAGAAAGTATTTATACACCCTAAATTTTTCTAACAAGGGAGTGAAGTTTCTGGAGATAAAAATCTACTCCAAAGCCACATAAACAACAAAAATTTTTTAACTAAAAATTTAGGAAGTATTTACACCCTAAATTTTTTAACAATTAAAGATGATGCTAATATACTTCTATAAAATTCCGTTTGGAGTATAAAATTTAACTCCATTTAAGGGTAAAAAAATATCCATTATTATATCCCTTTAAAAGATGCTCGATAATGGATTTCAGAATTTTTGTTTCCTTTTCAGAAAAACCATGACAATAATAACAAAACTCTGATAAAGTTGTTGAACATATTACACAGCATTCATGTGAAGTATACAAAGGTTCAAACTTCAGATCAAAATCTTGATTCGAAATACATATATTTACAGAATATTCTTAACTGTTACCAACCGAAGTTTTATCTATATATACATCATGTAAAAAAAATATTTCCCATAAAAAAGAAACAAAAATATAATCTTCACTAATAGATGCGTTTCTATATTCTTGTTGTTATTTTTCGCTCTCAAAATTTTAAACACTTTTAGTCAAGTGTGCTAAAGCTTCTAAATTCGCTTCGCGAACAAATGTCATAGGTTTCAAATCCTCGTGGATTTGACGATTTTTTATTTTATTATTTCTGAATGATAATGAAATTTATCTATAATAAATTTATACAGAAATAATAATAATCCAATAAAACAAAGCTTAAATTATTTAAAACAATGTTTATAAAATTTTTATAAAGAATTCAATTTTTTTCAAAAATAACAAAATTTTTCACATAAATTAAATTCTTTTTAAACATTTTAATAAAATCGTTTGCAAGAATTCAATTATTTTCATAATCATTAAAATGTTTTTTAGGAATTCAATTATTGTAGAAAATTTTTAATAGAATTCTTTGTAAAATTTAATTATTTTTAAAAATTTTTCGCACATCAATGATTTTCAATATCTGCTATTTTCATAAAATTTCATACAGAATTCATTTATTTAAAAATTTTTTTGTAATAATCTTCGGAAGAATTCAATTATTTTTATGAATAATATAAATTTCTCAGAAAATCAATTATTTCCATCAGAATCTGCATAAAATTCTTCCAAAGAATTAAATTATTTTTATAAATATTCCTTGTAAGAACCAAGAAACAAAACCAATAGTTTTTGTAAATAAAAAGAAGAAATCTACTTGATATATATTTTTTATAATAATAATCAGTCTATTTAATTTTTTAGCTCTTCTTTCTTTTCCCATTTTTCTTCTTTATCCTATTCTTTCTTTTTTTTATTTTTCACCTTTACATTTTTTTCTTTCTTTATTTCCTTCTGCTGCCTTTTGTATTTCTTTAATTTAAAAAAATTGTTTATTATTTTTTTCCTTGTTTTAAATTTAAAAAAAATTTGTTTATAATTTTTTTTTTGTTTTTTTTTAATTTAAAAAAATTTGTTTATTCCTTTTTTTATATCGTTTTTTATTCTCCAAATAATGGAAGAAAAATCGCGTATCCTCGAAGCCTGCGAGAAGACACATACTCTGTTGCTATCCGGTTATAGTACAAAAATAACAGTGGTTCCCTTATCTTTCCTTGCCTGCTCGTCGTGAACGTATGTACATAGGCAGACAGATGAACGCACATTTATGTGAGAATAAATACGCGCGCGACCAAGACAGAAGATTTCAATGTAAAGAGTGACTGAGAGAGTGAGAAAAAAAAGAAACGACAAAAAAAAGAGAGAAAAGTTTATAATGTAACGAGAGAGAGTGAAAGAGATCGCGAGATGCTGCTCCCTCAGCAAGATAAAAACATTATTTTTAATCATCAAGGGTCAACCGATGCCAGGACAAAACCATTACTAAAATGAGTCGAGTATGATTGTAACTCTGATTCATATGCATCTTAAATAATTTTTTTTTTCATTTCTTCTATTAAATATATATGTATATTAATTATCATTAAAAACTTTTCGCAATTCAATGATTTTCAATATCTACTATTATCATAAAATTTCCAAACAGAATTCAATTATTTAAAAAATGGTTTGTAAAAATTTTCGTAAGAATTCAATTCAATTTTTATAAATATTAAAATTCTTTGATGAATAATAAAATTCGTTGCAGGAATTCAATTTATTGAAAGGATGAGAAAAAAGTAAATATTTTTGATGAAAATTAGGAAAAAGTCAGGAAAATAAAAAATATGGAATGGAATTTTTTTCAATTTTGTGAATTGAATAAAACGAGTTTTTTTTGACATTGAAAAAAAATGACAATAACCCACAAAAATTAATTTTCAAAACAAACAAATGAATGCAGATAATTTGCTAACGGAAAGGAAACTTACGATTATTATAATGTACTAGCCAAACTATCCGCGCGCAAGCGCGCGGGAATGTTGTATGGGGCTGCTTATTTTAAACAAATTAAAAAATTTTAAAGAAATAATTATTATAACCTAACAAAGAGATTTAACTATAACTAAAATTCAAATAATTTCACTCAATGGTCTCAATTTAAATAGAATTTACATTACTAGACTTAAACTATGGCTAGAACAATTACAATTAGTATCTGGGTCATCTTTTGCATTGCTTATTTTATAAAGCCATTTTAAATTAAATACTTTTTAAAGAAATAATAATTATTACACACTGAAAAAAGTTTTACTTGAAATAGCGATAAGTTTCTCTAGAATAACAAAAGTATTAATTGAACCACTGAAAAATTTCGCTACTAAAGTGAAATCTGTAGTTCATCCAGCTAAATATTTTTTGCCGTGCATAACGAAAAAAGAATTAAATTAACATCAGATTTTCTACATTTAAAAAAAAACGAATTAAAATAGAAATTAATCATTTTACAACTTAACCAAATTCACGCCAGAAATCACTGAATTCGATAATTTAGAAGAAAGTCAGACAAAAGCAGGGTTCCTACAGAATCTGGAAATCATGGAAATGGTATGGAATTTTTAAAAGGCTTCTATAAATCAGGGAAAGCATGGAAAAGGCCTGGAATTTTTAAAAGTTTCTAAATTTTTTCAGTTTTCCATTTTTTCTCTTGAATAAAAATTCAAATAATAATAAAGCTAAATGGCATAAAAGAGAGGAAAAAATGTTGAATTTTAAGAAATTCGAATTTTTTAATTTTTTCGAATTTTTGATAATTTTAGATTTTTTACCAAAGAGTCGAGACTATTAAGTAAGTAAAGTACTTTCCAAGAGCACAAAAATAATGAAGCTAAATCCCATAAAAGAGAGGAAAAAATGTTGAATTTTAAGAAATTCGAATTTTTTAATTTTTTCGAATTTTTGATAATTTTAGATTTATCACCAATGAGTCGAGACAATTTTATAAGTAAAGTATTTTCCAAAAGCACAAAAATAATGAAGCTAAATCCCATAAAAGAGAGGAAAAAATGTTGAATTTTAAGAAATTCGAATTTTTTAATTTTTTCGAATTTTTGATAATTTTAGATTTATCACCAATGAGTCGAGACAATTTTATAAGTAAAGTATTTTCCAAAAGCACAAAAATAATGAAGCTAAATCCCATAAAAGAAAGGAAAAAATGTTGAATTTTAAGAAAAACGGATTTTTGAATTTTTTCGAATTTTCGATAATTTTAGATTTTTTACCAAAGAGTCAAGACTATTTAATAAGTAAAGTATTTTCTAAAAGCACAAAAATAATGAAGCTAAATCCTATAAAAGAGAGGAAAAAATGTTGAATTTTAAGAAATTCGGATTTTTTAATTTTTTCGAAATTTTGATAATTTTAGATTTTTTACCAAAGAGTCGAGACTATTAAATAAGTAAAGTATTTTCCAAAAGCACAAAAATAATGAAGCTAAATCCCATAATAGAGAGGAAAAAATGTTGTATTTAAGAAAAACGGATTTTTGAATTTTTTCGAATTTTTGATAATTTTAGATTTTTTACCAAAGAGTCGAGACTATTAAATAAGTAAAGTATTTTCTAAAAGCACAAAATTAATGAAGCTAAATCCCATAAAAGAGAAGAAAAAATGATGAATTTTAAGAAATTCGGTTTTTTGAATTTTTGATAAGATAATTTTAGATTTATCACCAATGAGTCGAGACAATTTTATAAGTAAAGTATTTTCCAAAAGCACAAAAATAATGAAGCTAAATCCCATAAAAGAAAGGAAAAAATGTTGAATTTTAAGAAAAACGGATTTTTGAATTTTTTCGAATTTTTGATAATTTTAGATTTTTTACCAAAGAGTCGAGACTATTAAGTAAGTAAAGTACTTTCCAAGAGCACAAAAATAATGAAGCTAAATCCCATAAAAGAGAGGAAAAAATGTTGAATTTTAAGAAATTCGAATTTTTTAATTTTTTCGAATTTTTGATAATTTTAGATTTATCACCAATGAGTCGAGACAATTTTATAAGTAAAGTATTTTCCAAAAGCACAAAAATAATGAAGCTAAATCCCATAAAAGAGAGGAAAAAATGTTGAATTTTAAGAAATTCGAATTTTTTAATTTTTTCGAATTTTTGATAATTTTAGATTTATCACCAATGAGTCGAGACAATTTTATAAGTAAAGTATTTTCCAAAAGCACAAAAATAATGAAGCTAAATCCCATAAAAGAAAGGAAAAAATGTTGAATTTTAAGAAAAACGGATTTTTGAATTTTTTCGAATTTTTGATAATTTTAGATTTTTTACCAAAGAGTCGAGACTATTAA